AAGCAATGTTAACTTTTAAAGGCAGATTCAATTTTTTTGCACTCTTTAAACGATTAAGGTTAAAATGTCGACAAAACTGTACGCGTTTTTTATTTTTGGACTTGATCATCATAAATTCATTTTAGAATTAATCGAATTTTATTCTATCACATATGGTATAATTTTAGTCCATTGAACGTAAAGAAAGCCATACGTGATTTCTACGACCCAAAGATACCTGATCTTATGCAGAGGATACAAGATGCTACGCTAGAAAAATTTGAGTTTGGGTTAAACTGGGAACGCGTATATGCAAAAGTCAGTGGAAAATATATTGGTGAGGATTTTGTGAAAAAAGTTCTCGCCTACTTTTTCTACACTACCGCGTCTATTCAAAAGAAATGCAATGAGGATAATTTAGTCGGCGAAGCATTACTAGAGAAATGCACTTCCCGAAGAATAGTATTTGAAGTTGTGGAAGATTCTCTTGGAGAACGTGATCCCACCGTTGTTTTTGAACAAGGAGTAATGTATGTGAGGACGACTGTAGAAAATTTCGGGGAAAAAGTCGATCAAGCTGCTGCTTATTTTGAAGAGAATTTTGATGGATTTGGGCCCGTTCCCGATAAAATTGGTAAGACTAAGGAGATTAGTTAATCGTAAATATAAATTGGAATTATACATAATCACTAATTGACTATATATAGCAACTAAGGATTTAAGAACCGCACTACCAACCCTCAATCAAATATCATCAGTATTAACAAACACCCCGCAATATGCGATTATTCGACTTAAACGAGGTGACCGCATGTCAGATGATTGTCTCACCATTGATGGACCCAATGAACTTTTACATCAATTACATGATTGGATTCAAAAAAACATCGCGCCAAATTCAAATTTCCGAGAACCGGTATCAATTCGGTTTCTTCAATCATTATGTCAAAAAGAATTATATATAGAAAGTAATGGCTCAAATGTTTTATATAATTTTAGTGTTGCAAGCATTTTGCAAGCGATGGAAGGTGTTGGGTATCAATTGTTACAGTTCCAATTACAACCTAAATTGGAACTGTATATTTTGAAGAGTAATCCATCAAAATAAAATGTGCCATTTCTTTTTACTGCTTTAGTTTTTTATATTTGGCTTGCCATTGTAAATGCCGTAAATGCCATTGTAAATGATTCATTAATCCATTGTATAATCACGTGTTAAAGAGTCATCATAATTCTTGAAGGGAAGCACCAACGAGGAACAGGAATTTATACAAAACCTTAATAATTTTAAGATGGCCATGTTATTT